GTCTTCAACGAAACATCTCGCTCTGAAAATGTATACAGGATCGCTATAAGTGACGCCCTGCGGAAATGTCTTTCTGTTGGAAGTCTTATCCTTCCAATATAAATTGTATGAAAATTTCCAGTGACTCCAAACGTATAGTCAGATGCGGTTCGGATTGTTTCAACTCGGTAGGCTGGCGACGCGCTTGTAAGATGCCCCCGAATAGCAGCGCGGCCTAAATCTCAGCCCACGGTTGATCAGACAGCCTGAGCAACTGACGCACCAGTTCAGACACATCTGGCAACTCAAATGGTTCAGCACCATACTCAACGCATGCCTGCACCAGACCGCCTCTCGACGGCAGATCTGCAGGATTGGAAAAGGATGCTACTCTCTCGAACCATATGAGAGCGGGGCTTGTTAGCTCCGCGTGTTGGCTCAGGCGTGCCATGTTCCTGAGAGATACAGAATCAGCCGTCCCTTTCATGAGGGCGTACCTGGCCGCTTCGTTATCGATCCAGGCTAAAACGGGCATAGCGTGAAAGCGCTCACACATGGCCACCCGGAGAGCTAGAAATGCCCACATCTCTATCTGACATATGATCTGCTCTCCAGCATCGCGGAGCCACGAACGAACAAGCTCCTGAGGGACCGGAATCTCACATGCAAAGGTTGCACCAGTAGCGCAACAATGCACAACCGCCCCCGCTCCGGCCCGACCAGATTCCCACGCCCCGTCCGTGAATACGAGGAGTGGGGGACCCGAGATGCTTAGATCGAAAGATCTTGGCGGAGTCGCCCTCAGGAGGGAGACAGCTACTCTACAAAGGCCTTGGAAAACCTCCGATGCCGGGTCAGAGGACGCCTTGTTCAGGGCCTTGGAAACGAACTTCAAACCCTTGTTGTAGAAGAATCCTGAGGCGAAGTTCAAGTGGCCATGCAGCTCTGGAAGCGACTTCGCCACATCTGGATTGGTTGCCGCCTCCTGAATCATGGCCACGAGTTTTTCCACCCTCCCCGGCTTGTTGCTGACGGTGAACCTACCCTGGCCGAGATTGTTCAGCGATATCTGCACTCCTAGAGCCACAAACTCCTGTTGGAAGCCAGGGGCTTTCTCCCCTTCCTCCGCATGTGCCCAACCCAAAAGATTAAGCACAGACGACGCGGATTTCAGAAGGATCTGTGATCCGCTCCCCGTGGCCACCATCGGGTAGTCGTCAAAGAAAACTGTGTTCAGAGCCTTCAGGTACTTGGCCATGATGAAGTGCAGGCTTCTGGATACTCTCAAGAATGAGAACACGGAGGCTCGGGCCCCAAAAGGTAGGACATTGCAGCGATAGTAAATCCACGATGGGCCCTTCTGAAATCCCAAGACGCAAACCCTACGACTAGACGGGTCGATGGCCAGTTGCTTGTATGCCCGGGAGAGGTCTAGCGTCCTCCCCATCCACTGCTCGAGCCTGACTACTTCGTGGACTTCGGAGCCTTGGAATGTCCCCTCAACGATGGCCTTGGCGAGCGCAGCTATGACACACGACAACGAGTCGAGGTCCATAAGAGTAGCCGCACAAGTCCTTTGATAGGCTTCATTGAGGCCAGAGCGCCGGGCATCATCTATCACTCTCAACTTGAGTTTGGCGCCCTGATACAGGGCAAACCTCGGATTCAGGAGCCACTCTGACGATCCGAAGTGTTCCGTAATTTGGTCCTCGGAGAAGGGGCCCTCAATCTCTCCACGCTTCACCTCGGCATCTGCCGCCTCGGTTAGGTCCGCTTGCTCCTTTTCCGAGGTCTCCTTGTTTCGCGAGGTTATGGCGATTCTCCTCAACGGTGCTGAGGCCAAGAGTGATGCGTGTGAGTCAGTGGCTGGCACTAGCTTCTCCGGAAGAGCTGGAACCGCCCCATGAGAGCCCGTCAATGGGATCCCAGATGCCACCAGGTCAACTATCGCCATATCATCGTACTCTGCAGCGGACAGCAAACTCTTCCACAGAAGAAGCCGCTTGGGCTTGAGGATTGCAGACACAATAGGGTCCAACTTATCCTTAAATTCCCTTTCTCGATCTTCCAGCTCTTCCGCCATCTGTTTGATGGTTATCACGGCCTGGATGCGAGATTTGGCGACCTCCACTGGGTGCAGCGTGAGGTTGTGGAAGAGCGCGTCTTTGACTGTCTCACTCAGGGCCTGATCGGGATTCATGGGATGCTTGACCTGCTTCGCCTGCTGAAGGAACTCCTGAGGGGTCCATCTGATACCAACTTTGCAACCAGAGTTCTCCGGCGTCTTATTGCCTTGTAGACCCCCCCCTTGTTCGGAGGCAAGAATCTTGTACTGCTCGCCCCGGGGAGCAACTGGTGCCTCGACGATCTCTCGAAACTGAGGGATAAGAGGAGGGGAAGCTCGCGAGCCTGAGAGCGAGCAGAAGTTGCCGGGCGGGGGAAGCAAAACACCAGAGCGCTCCCAATGCGCCACAAACAGGTTGGCGAAGGTCTGACAAAAGAGCGAAGGGTACTGAGCCTCCTCGGCTGTAGCAAAGGAGAGCTTGTTGTTGACCTCGGTGATGGACCAGGGCAAATGTTCATGTCGCCCGTCACAAGAGCGGGCCATCGAGGAGAGATCAAAAGATGAAGCCAACCTGGTTCGCTTTTTACGCTTACCCCCAAACATGCAAGCATCGAGATCAAAGTAGCGGAGAGACTTCCAGGCCCTTCGCAAGTCTGGTCCGTACTCGGCGGTCATGCGCTTGACGAGACATTCCAAAGCCGGCCAAAGCCAGCTGCGTGAAGGGTTCTCGATGGTCACAGGAACTCCTCGCTGGAAGGCCCACAAAACGACCCGGATCGCGAATCGATACAGCTCATTCGCAGCACGTACACGGTCTTTGGAGGGCCCGGCAAGACCAGGCTTACCTAAGGGATGAGCGGCATCACGCAGCGGCTGGGGAGCAGCGAACTTGCCGCGAACCTTCTTGGGAAGAGCCTTGTCTCTAGCCCTGCTACAAGTTCCACAGGGAACGCCCAGGTGAACGTGTCCCACGAGTACAGCATCATTCAATGCGCCCATCAAGAGATCCTGATTGCGAGGGAGCGTGAGGTCCAGGGGCACGAAGGAATGGCACAATCGATGGTCATTACCTGGGCGATCAATGGCCATAGTGGGGAATCCACGGTCTCGAAAGGCCGCAGACAAGGAGCCCGACCCAGAGCAAATCTCAACCATGAGGGGGCGCCTAGCGACCTGCGTCTGGCCTCGGGTCAGAGGAGGGGGCTGAGTAAGGTCACCAACGCTGTCCGGGAGAGTGAAGTGGAGCTGGCGGAGACGATCTCGTAGCTTCACCGGCAAGTCCAGGGCCTCGCGGATAGAGAACGCGACCAAGACGAGGCGGTCACCTGTCCAATCCAAGGTGCAATGCCTCGACGAAGCAGCTGGGAGAAGAACTGGTCCACGTGCAACATCGAGAAGACGGCCACGACACTGTACACCATCGCAATGAAGAAGATGATCTCCGCCGTCATCTTCGCACCAGATGGCACCCTCCTCAAAGTGAGCCACGGGTGCAACCAGGTTATAGGAGTCGGGGAAGTTATTGGCATCTCGATGACAAGGAGTCTTCAAATTACGAAAAAGCGCCACGCTCGTGAAGGAAAAAGACGGAGAAATGGCCTGGACGTGCTTGGCAAGCAGAGAGGACGTAATCGGGAAGGAGGAAAGATTGCGGCGAAGTCCAACCTCGCCGCCGAATGAGTAGGCACCCGTAGTGAAGGAGCCCGACATCCCGACACCCACTCCCCTCGCCGGAGGTTCAAGCGGCAAAAGGGAGAAAAGACGGCGAAGACTGTCGTAGGACAGGTCACCATCTGCGATCAATGCACTTGCGAATTCTTCTGGGGGCGTAGCCCCAGTCATATCAGTCACCAGATCTCCGGTCTGGTGATCTAGTCACTCCTTGTGACGGCACTCTGGATAAGCGAAGGGACGATGGCAACCTTCTTTCCAGCAGACGTGGAAACCATTGGAGCAACGGCCTCCCTTGGCCGTTTTGACTTTGCATCGTCCCACATTGAACTTCTTGCAAATGGGCTTGCCGCCGTTGAACATGATGGTGCAGCCTTCCGGGACCACGATGGGGGAGTAGCCGGGATTGTCTGGCCGCTTGACCTGCGCCTGCTGGGTCATCTTGGAGCCTTGACTCCGGTTCTGGCGGCGAGCATTGCGAGACCGACCTGGTTGATCCGACTGAGGCTGCTTTCCGCCGCTAGCCGCTCCCCCTGCCTTGAGGGGCATCAGATGAAAGAGGACGTCCGGATGGTCAGCGTAGTAGTTCATGTGAGACTCGCATAGTCTCAAGGCCGGCTGGTCAGGGTCCATCTCCGTGAGCTTCGCCCTGGTGTCCTCCGCGACGAGCAACCACAGCGCCTTGTCCGCAGCCACCAGCTGATGCAAGGAAGTAGCCAAGTATCCAGGGGGTGGTACATGATGAAGTCGATCAAATAGTGATTGATGCCACCTCTCCAGGACGCTGAAGCTGAACAGATTGGCCACGTCGTAGGCGAGAGCACGTCTCTGAAGAGCCACTCTCAAGAGATGAGCGCTGCTTGTATCACACTCGAGGTCATGCGATGCCTTGCTTACCTTGATGGACCCCTTGGAATCGAATGACAATGAAGTCTGAGGCTTCTCCGAGAGGGCCTCAGAATGTCGCGAGGTGCACTTGTTGGGATGGATCCACTGAAGAGATCCTTCTTCCAATTGCGAGCACGCCTTGTCTATTAAGGCGTGGCTGGGAGTATTGTGAGGGGTGAGCACTACCCCCACAAGACGTTCCTTTTGCCGTGTAAGCCGAGCCATCTTCTCCTGGAGGGGAAGAACCTTTGGCTCGTGCTCGGCTGGGCTCTCAAGCTTGGTCTTCAAGTCCTGGAGGGCCAGCGCCTGGGCCTCAAAGGCTAGGCGCCTAAGACCCGCCACTGCTGTTGGAGTCAAAGCATGAGTAAGCAGCCCGTTAACATGGTTCATCAAAGCAGCGTCATCGATGCCTGCGTTCGCCTGATGCGGAGTGCAAAAGGCGAGGCCCGCGAATGTGGTTATTCCCCCGTCGTGCATTTCCTGAACTACATTCTCAGGAAGGCCGCACGACAAGCATCTGGATCTGAAGGAGGCCTCACTATCAAGCGCCATGTCGCTAGAATCGGGGATCTACCTTGCAAGCCAACACTTCAAGCTGCAGACACGACCTTAGATCGCAAGCCGCGGATGCAGGTACGAAGTCGCCGATTCCACTCTTCGCAGACGTCTTGGCTCGGTCATGCGTCCTGGGCCCTGCTGCACTGGACGCAAAAGAAACTCTGGACTCGATCCAAATTGACAGGTTCTACCTGTTCGAAATTACAGGAGACTACTCTACCGCACCTCAAGCGATGACCACTGGAATCGGAAGCGATGTGCACTATGCTGCTGACACGGTGCCGAAACCACGAATAGTTCCCGGCATCAGCCGGGAGAGGTTCTCTCTGAACCTCGATTACTTCTTTAGGTTCTGCCTCCTCGTCATCATCGGACGAAGAGCTTTGATTTGCCTCCTGCATGCGTTTCTCTTCAGCCGACTCAACCTGACCCTCCAGATTGTCCTTGCTCGACCCCGCCATCGCCTTAAGGCGAGCCGCTGGGGGGTCGTCCGGTCGATAAGAACCCACTGCGATCATCTCTATCATCTTGAGCACTTTTGCTTGAAGAGCTAGCATGGTGTTGTGATCGTAGGTGGTAGCGGACTTTGTCGCCGCCTCAACATGGTGACCTAGCATGGTCCTCTCTTCCCTCG